AAGGGCAATGTGCCTGGAGCCAACTAAAGAAGATGGAAACACGGTACACACTGACACTAGAGAATGCAAAATACTACAGGGCAATATATTTTTTTTAATCCACAGAGCAGTGAGTAGGCCATCAAAGGCTTTGAACCTGGAAAGTAACAGATTCAGATCTTCTATGAAAAGATGACTGTAGGGGCGCCTGGGTGGCACAGTCGGTTAAGCGTCCGACTTCAGCCAGGTCACGATCTCGCGGTCCGTGAGTTCAAGCCCCGCGTCGGGCTCTGGGCTGATGGCTCAGAGCCTGGAGCCTGTTTCTGATTCTGTGTCTCCCTCTCTTTCTGCCCCTCCCCCGTTCATACTCTGTCTCTCTCTGTCCCAAAAATAAATAAACGTTGAAAAAAAAATTAAAAAAAAAAAAAAGAATCAGAGATAAGCATGTTTAAAAGTTGATGGAAAGTACCCAGTTCAGAGGGAAAGACTTAGTACATGAGGATGGGAAGTTCTGGAGCAAGCCCAAAGGGGTTAAAGTGTTAGGCAACAGGGACACCTCCTTTGTAATGAGAAGGAAGAAGGACAGGGGAAATGCAAACAGTTTGTCTGCGATTAGGAAGATGCTTTGTTGTTTCTGAGGAGATAACAAAATTGTCTTGTTAAAGGCTTTTAATTTCTTTGCCAAGTCAAGGTCCTCTTCCTGGAGAGGGGGAGGAACAGCTCAGAGGATGAGAAAAGGGTTGGAAAATGAAGGGAAGAAGAACGCAGAATGGCAGGACATTCCCATGTCAAGTTTTCAAAGACTGTAACAGTTTTGCTTCTTACTTGGTATACCTTGATTTCCAATTAGGAAGTGTTTCCTTGAACTAATGTCAGGTTCCTTTGGAAAGAATATTTTGTGTCTCATTGAGGCTTGTCTCCTCTTATTCATTCTCTCTCCCTCCCTTCCTCCCTCCACCCCAGAAGCGTGCGCGCGCGCGCGCACACACACACACACACACACACACACACACACACACACCCATCACCCATCATACCATCACACCATTCAATCCTCTGAAAATTTAATGCTATGTGAATATTGCCCTTAAAAATCAATCAACTGCCACAACATTTAAAAAATTTTTTTAACGTTTAGTTATTTTTGAGAGAGAGAGACAGAGCATTGGTGGGGGAGGGGCAGAGAGCGAGAGGGACACACAGAATCTGAAGCAGGCTCCAGGCTCTGAGCTGTTAGCACAGAGCCCGGCGCGGGGCTTGAACCCATGGACAAGACCGTGAGATCATGACCTGAGCTGAAGTTGGACGCTCATCTGACTGTGCCACCCAGGCATCCCTCAACTGCCACAAATTTTACAGCTAAAATCATAGTGGAATTTAGTGCCCCACTAACAAGGAACCTAAAAAAAAAAAAAAAACAAAAAACAAAAAACAAAACAACAACAACAACAGAATATTGCCTGACATCTGACATTTGCTAGATCTGTACAAAGACCTCACTGGAGTGTTGTTGTCTCTGTTTATCACAACTGAGCTTGTAGCACAGGCACTGCCTTAACCCAAAGCCTGCACAGCCTTAACAAAACCCCTATTAAAACTCCAAAGGAAAAAAAGGCAGCCACAAATTCTTTTACTTTTCCATACATTTCATGGGAGTGTCCAAGAAACCTATATGAGAGCTGTTTAACTCCAGTGTGTTACAGAGTAATAGAGACTGTATGAAAAGAAATGCATGACAGGTAAAATAAAGTGCTTGAAAAACTAACGTCTATAAGCGAACCCCAGGTTCACACTGATTTGTAGCTTCCAATTAAGGAAGTCGCAGACTGAATCATACCAAGATTTTCCTTGTCTTTGGCACTAATATTTGCTCCAAAGAAGTGGCTTCCTTTCTAGAGAACATTACTGGCCACAGAATATTCACCATCACAGTAAAACATGAAGGTGATTTTGTTAGATTTCACTCTTATCATTCAACTGAAGAGAAATCTTCCAAATATAAAAGGAAGGAGAATGTTCCCTCCTATTTCATCAACTGTTATAAAATTCATGAAGCCCTGTCTGGCTTGGGTCTTCTATCTACTGACAAATGTAATTAAAATTAGACTTGAGAAAAAATAGGAATGGAAATGTCCAAGTATAAGGATGTTGCCACTGAAAATTGGTTTCTAAAAACAGCATCGATTAGAAAGGAAGTGCAGAGAAGTGAGAAATCTGCTGCCAATAGTGCATCTCTAATTATATAAAATATGGCAATCGAAGGCTCATGAGGTTAGGGAGACTGTTATTAAATAATGCAATTAAAAGCTAATAAATTTAGGCTTCCGCCTATACACAGAAAGGGTATTTGGTATATTAGCTTTCTATTGCTGCTGTTACCAGTGGCTTGTAAAACAACACAGTTTTATGATTCTACAGTTCTATAGTTTAAAAGTCTGACATGGGTGTCACTGCGCTAAAATCATGGTGTCAGCAGCACTGTGTTTTGCTGGAAGCTCTGAGGGAACAATTTGTTTCCCTGCCTTTCACCTTCGAGAGGCAGCCCACACTCCTTGGCTTGTGGCCCCTCCATCCATCTTCAAAGCTATCAGCCCAAATCTGACTCTGGTTCCCTATCATGTCTCTTTTACCGACCTCACTCCTGCCACTTTTAAGGACCCTATGATTACAGTGGATCCACCTGTAGCATCCAGGGTTATTTCCATCTCAAGGTTCTCAGATAATCACATATGCAATATCTCCTTTGTCACATACGATAACATATTTACAGGTTCTGAGGATTAGAATGCTGACATGTTGGAGGGGGGCATCATTCTGCCTTCCACACTTGGGAGAGAAGAAGGGCATGTGTATAAAAGATATATATTACTGCCAGGTCTCTGTTTTCTAAGCCTACCATGCTCAAGTAGGAGATAAAAGAAATGTTAAGTATTTTTTTTCCCCGTAACTGTGCAGTACATCAGATAATCAGACCACTCATCTTCAGTGACAAGAATGCTAACTAAGAACAGGATTCCTTTGGCAGAATGAAACTAACTCAGAAGATAGGGATTGATGATTGAAAAGCTACCGGGGATGCCCACAGGATGTCATACATCTCCTTTCCGGGAAATTACAGCAGTGGAGAGAGAAGACAGAGGCCATAAAATGGTCATAAAAATGTATTTTAATTAAATTATTCCACAATAAAACTAAAAGGAATCTAAAAATAACAGCTGATTATTATCCTCATCATGCTTCAAGAATGGCCTGTGCAAGATATTATTTTGAGAGGACAGCTAAGATGGTTACAGACCATTCTACCCTGGCTCTCTCTCCCCTCTCCTTCTCTAGGTCTCTCTCTCTCTCTACCTCTCAACCCTCTTGCTCTGCTAGCTTTCATTTCATCCTGCAAGAATGACGACCTGAGTGGAGATCAGGTGTACCTATTCATTACCTTTGAAAGCACAGGACATCAGTGGGCTTCACATCGCTGTGTTTTTAAATTGGCATCAGGCAAACCATTGCTTTAGCTGCATTTATTTTACCTTCAAAAACAGTGTCAGATGCCAAGAGATACCACGGCCAGAAAGCTGGGTTTCCGAGAAACAATAACTTTCACATTTTTGTCATCATAATCTAGGGCCGAAGGAAATAACTTCCATAGTTTTGTCATCATAACCTAGATCTAAATTTGCTTTTTAAAAAATCTATAGAACTAAGCCATCCACATTTTTCAAATAAAAAAACTGGGCATGTGTTCTAACAAAGGATGTTTCATTATTTATAAATTTAAATGAAAAGTGTTACAAAGTCATAAAAAATAAATTGCACTTAGCTTACATACTGAATAAATTTACTTTATTGCAAAAAAAATGAAATTATAAGAAATCAAGGCTTCCCTGGGAAGCCCAGCATGCATGGTCACCATTATTTCTACTGGGCAGTTCAGAATGCTATTTGGTTGTAAAGCCCACAATTTATTTTGGGCAGCGTCTGCCACTGCTTCAAAAGCTTCAGCAAAAAAAAAAAAAAAGTCTTTTTATTCCATGTGAAATCATGTGAACTGAGTATTTGGCCTGCTTAATTATCCCAAGAGTCTGGTTCAGTAGTTCAGTGTCTAGCACACTAAATGCTCAATAAATGTAGATTGAATAAATGAACAAATGCACGAACAATTTAAGATTAGCCATACGGAAAGCAGGCCAAGTTTCCTTTCTGCCAAGACAGAGTAAAAAGCTCACAAGATCTCTTTGGAGGAACAACTTCTCAGGACACTTAGTCCTATAAGGCTAGAAACATTTATAATGAATAACTGATCACTAATTTAACGGATTTCACCAAGGTGTATCAACTTGTGATAGAACCATGAAAAGGTTTTTTGTCTTTGTTTTGTTTTGTTTTTTTTTTTAATAAAAGTTCTTTGTCAAGTCTCCATTCCCACTGGATTTCACGCTCCCAAGTGGTATCTCAGTCCAATTTCCTAAATTTTCTGACTGATTTTGGTGCTCTGTTTAAAAACCTTAATGTCAATTTCAACTCACAGCTCACTTCCTCTACAATTCAAGACAGGACAGACAGGTATGTACGTGGCTTGGAACAAGGGGAGGTGACAGGGAGTGGAGAGGGTGTTCTCTCTCGTACCATTCTTCACCTCCTTTGCTATGATTGCTCTTCTGGGACTGGAGCAAGGATGAAGGAGAGGAAGGAAGACGTTCTGCAAAGCGACCATTCAGAGTAAACTGGCCTCTCTCTCTTGCCAAGGGGCCACTGTCTGGCCCTCATTTCCTTCTCTCTACCACAGGCTGACTTCCTCAAGGGAGGCATTTTTGGACTCGCAGGTGGGACTTCGGGGGGTTTCTCCCTGCTTAACTCCCTGATGTTGGGATCTGACTGGGGTGGGGCTTCTTCCTCCTGGCCTCAGGCCTGGCGCAGGTGATCCACCCACATCCTCTTACTGCTGGGCTTCCTTTGCCCAATGGGTGGCACCTGGAATGGGGCAGCAATTTTGAAAGAAGCTTAATATTCAGTCACCTACTCACCTTCAGTGAGGTTCCACTCACATATCCTGGTCACAGCAAACATAGACTTGCAGGCTTCACCATGGGATTTTCTCCTTCTGCACTGTCGTATCCCTCTGGTCCCTTAACATGCTCAAGCCTAGAGAACAGATGATTTATCAACTCAGTGGCTCAGCAATTTTTTAAATATGTATTTATTTACTGGGGGGGAGGGGCAGAGAGAAGGGGGAGAGAGAATCCCAAGAAGGCTCTATACTGTCAGCACAGAGCCAGATGTGGGGCTCGGTTCCATGAAATGTGATATCATGACATGAGCCAAGATCAAGAGTCAGGTGTTCAACCAATAGAGCCACCCACATGCCCCAACTCAGCAATTTCTTAAAAAAAAAAACAACTTTTTTTAATGTTTATTTATTTTTGAGACAGAGAGACAGAGACAAAGCACCAGCAGGGGAGGGGCAGACAGAGAAGGAGCCAGAGAACTTGAGGCAGGTTCCAGGCTTTGAGCTGTCAGCACAGAGCCTGAGGTGGGGCTCGAACCCATGGACCATAAGATCATGACCTGAGACAAGTCAGACGCTTAGCCAACTGAGCCACCCAAGCGCCCCTCAGCAATTTCTCTTACAATTCTTTTTTAAAGCTTATTTATTTTGAGAGAGACACAGAAAGAGACAGAAAGAGACACAGAGAATTCCAAGCAGGCTCTACACTGTCAGCAAAATTGAAATCATCCCCTGAGTGAAATCAAGAATATGATGCTTAACTGACTGAGCCACCCAGGTGCCCCCAGCTCAGCGATTTCTTTGTTTTTTTTTTTTTTTTTTATGTTTATTTATTTTGAGAGAGAGAGTGCAAGTGGGAAAGGGGTTGAGACAGAGAGAGAGGGAGAGAGAGAGAAAGAAAGAATCCTAAGCAGGCTCCAGGCTGTGAGCATAGAGCCCAACTCAGGCTCAATCTCACAAACCGTGAGATCATGACCCGAACTGAAATCCAGAGTAGGATCTTAACCAACTGTGACTCAGCAACGTCTAACAGATTATCCTTAGTCCTTGACTTACTTATGCGGTCAGGGAAGGCAACTTGGGCATGCCCAACCTGTGGAAAGATAGGAGAACAAAGCACATGATGCTTTCTTCTTTTTACTTTTAGTTTTTAAAATACTTAGTGTGTATTTATTTGAGAGAGAGAGACAGAGAGACAGAGAGAATGAGCAGAGGAGGGGCAGACAGAGAGACACACACAGAACTTGAAGTGGACTCCAGACTCTGAACTGTCAGCACAAAGCCCAATGCAGGGCTTGAACTCACAAACTGTGAGCCAAAGTTGGACCCTTAACGGACTGAGACACCCAGGCGCCCCACATAATCCTTTCTTGCTAAGGATGGAATTGCTACCACTCTATACAACCCATATTTCCTTAAGAATCCTTTCTGCAGATTTCTTTTATATATGTTGGGTAAGAGAAGGGTAGGTATGCTCATTAAACTGCTGTCCTTGGTTTCTCCTGGGGAAGAGTAGCAGGCCTCCTAGATTGAGATGTTCTGCACTTTAACATTAAAGTAACTAGTGACCGTTATTTTCATTTGTAGCCACCAGCTGAGTGATCCCTGAATAACAGAATCACAATTAGAGAGAACTTGACAGGTGGCCAGGCTTTTTTCTTACACATAGTACTCTACATGTATCGAGCCATTTTTCTCCCCACATAAACTCTAGGAATGAGGTGTCAGTATGTCCATTTTACAGTAAATTTTACAGGATTTTTCTGTGTAGATCACTGCTACATAAGGTATACAAATAAGTGTCTAAGAAACAGATTAGATTTTTAAAAATGAATTTAGCTAACTTATACTAATTTAGAGAATATTATTGTAATCATCTTACAATATGGTGAGATCAGTAATGTTCTGATTCCCACTTACAGTAACTTGTCCAATTTCACCAAACCACTGAGTGTTAGAATTAGAACTAGACATTCTTCCTTGATGCTGTGCTGTTAATAGGAAATTCTATTTTTCCACTTGTTACAGTTCAGGTCCAGTGGGTCTTCTATTCCAGGACAACATCTGTGCCATGTACCAAGATGTATATGGAAAAGCCACATATGCATCAAACAAGAGACAAGTGAATTTATTTGCAATGAGCTTATTCAGAAAAACAATTCATTCTAGTGAAGCTTCTTCATGAATAAAATACTGCAGGTGTCACGACACAAAATCTTCTTGGGCTTCTGGTAGATAGGCCTCTGATGTTTCCTCTTGGACCATCTCCATTCAAAGGGCAAGCAATGTGTGTGTTGGTAGGGCAGTGCTGAGCACAGATGCCTGCCAATTCAAGCAACTTAAATTATTCAAGAGCAAGGCTGCCTGGACGACAGAGGAAATCCCACTTGGTGTGCAAACATATCCACACATCGTTTTCAAGATTTAGAAATTTCTTTTCTTCTATCTTGAAGTCACATGGCTATTATATCCCAGAGTACTCTGTAATCCAATAAATATTCTGTCTATATGTTTACAGTTGATAAGGGAGAAAAGGGGGCACTGAAATGGTTTGTGTAGCATCTGAACCACTTTGGAATATTGGTGCCGAAACAAAGACTCTCATGGAGACCTAGATTTCCATGATTTGAAGAGGAAAGTCAGCCTTAGTGGATGGATGGCAGGTGTCCTGAAGATACCAGGGCTATCTTCCCCTACATATGATCTTCAAATGCACCTTTTCTTCCTCAGTTCTGGAATTCTTCACAGCATTACATTATTTCCTCTAATAAGTCTACTAAAATGCAAAATCCAGCAAATAACTCATCTTTTACCAATCAGTCAGATATTGGTAGCAATCATTTAAATTAACCACTTCATCCTATCAATTGATAAAGGCAATGATGAAATAGCCTTATTTGAATTGGAGGAGAACATGACTATTACCAAGGAGACATGCACAACAATGCTCACTGCAGCACAGCTTCTAGTAATGAAAATCAGAAACACTTTAGGTGCCCATTGAGGAGAATATAGTAAATTATGATGGATATTCCTGATAGAATATTATATAGCAGTAAATATCAATGTTTGGATTAATATCTCAAAAACATAATGTTGAGAAGAAAAATTAACCAAGGGAAATTAAAAAAAAATTTTTTTAATGTTCATTTTTGAGACAGAGAGAGACAGAGTGCAAGCGGGGGCGTCGGGGAGGGGCGGAGAGAGAGGGAGACACAGAATCTAAAGCAGGCTCCCCGGCATCTGAGCTGTCAGACCCAATGTGGGGCTCGAACTCACAAACTGTGAGATCATGACCTGGGCTAAAGTCCGTTGCTTAACTGACTGAGCCACCCAGGTGCCCCTTGAGGGAAATTTTTAAACTGAATTTTTGGGCATTTAAAAAATCCTCTAAGCAATATCACAAAAGGTTGTGTAATATACTAGAGCAGTTACCAGCATTAACATATGATGAAGCCCACTGGTTCTGGAGTTAGATGCCTGCCTGCCTGCCTTTGAATCTCAGTTCCACTACCTATTAGCTGTGTGACTTTGTGCAAGTTATTTAAGTTCTTGATAGCCCCACGTTTAAGTGGAGGAAATAATAAGTACCTATTTCATATAGGATTGTTTCAAAGTCGAGGAAGGAATACACGTGAGCCACCTGGAATACTGCTAGTTGTATACTAAGTGGTCAATGAACATCAGTTATTATTAATTGCTTCTGGGTACATATATGTAGAAACTGTAATCCATGATACTGGATGGCTCTAGGGAGAAAGGGAGCTGAGAGGTTGAGTAAGACTATGAGAACTTCACCTTTATTCTGTGTTCTTTTTAAAAATAAGACAAATATATGGAACCAATACAAATGATGATGATAAAAATACTGATCGTGATGATGATTTTAAAGCCTGAATGTCAAAGAGTAGAAGCAACACACAGAGGCACCTGGGAAGGTCAAGACAAATGTCACAATTCTGAAAGAGGCCTGCCCTATTTTAATTGAGGCTCAGACAAGGGAGGGAAGCCAGATTAAGGAATGCAAGAGGGGAAGTCTGAGTAGAGCTATCAGATGGTCTGAAAAGAAGACTTCCGGGCAGGGCAGCAGAGCAAGCTGATCTGCAATCCGAGGGACAAACTTCTCACCAAGCCAAAGTAAGACATAATACCAGTACCCTCTGGTTAGAAAGAGCTGAGACCTGAGGAGTTTATTCAAACAAGAACAGTGCAGATGGGTCTGGAGGATGCTGATAGTCTCTTGGACTTCAACCTTGTATCACCCATAAGCAAAGACCCAAGAAGACTATGTTTAGCCTGAGAAACATCTGGTAAGAGCTGTCAAAGACAGTCCCTGAGAGCCTGATTTTGAAGGATAGGAAGAGGTGCCATTGGGGAATGAGCAGAAGGCCAGGTATGGGACAGGGTCAGGGGGAGGGGCATAAAATGAAGGTCAGAATGAGAGGAGCTGAGAGATTGATACAATCCTGAAACAATGACAGGGGCTACAGAAGAAGTCTCTTTCCTGTCTGTGGAAAGTTTCAAATAACATAAGCTAGAGGGATCTGAGGACAAAGTACCAGGCAGTTCCCTTAAGAAAGTAGCTCAGCATGTAACAACTATGTTGGGCACCTGAAACTAATGTAACCTTGTGTATCAACTATACTTCAATTAAAAACAAAAAGTCGTTCAGAGACAGGCTATTGTTCTCCTACCTCCCAAGGTTTTTCTCTCCTTTCCCCTCCACTCACTCTCTATATAGTTTTCCATCCATCAAGGCATTGTGTCCATAGATCTGAGGTTGTTCCAGAAACTCCTGTTTAGAACTGGGCTAAATACTTTATCTTTTTGTACCTTGATTTCCTTATTTCTGTAATTAACTTTAAAACTTGTTGAAAGATTGGGGTGCCTGGGTGGTTCAGTCAGTTGAGCCTCTGACTCTTGATTTTGGCTCAGGTCATGATCTGAGGTTTGTGGGTTCGGGCCCTGCATCAGGCTCTGTGCTGACAGTGCAGATCCTGCTTGGGATTCTCTCTCCCTTCCTCTCTCTCTCTCTCTGCCCCTCTCCAGCTTTCTCTCTCACTCTCTCTCTCTCTCTCTCTCTCTCTCTCTTTCTATCTCTCTCTCTCTAAAAATGAATAAATAAACTTAAAAAAAA